GGGGGCGGAGGGGGAGGCAGTGGGGATGGCGCCGGCGCCGGCGGCTGCTGCTGCTGCTTGAGGTAGCCCTCCCCGTACGGGCGCGGCTTGGGCAGCGTGGACACCGGGTCCGGCGGGAACCGGGCCGGCCGCTGGTAGGCCGAGGGGTCGCTGACCTCGGAGTAGCTGCGCCGCCCCTGGAAGCTGGCGCGCAGGTGGTGGCTGGCGGGGCGGCAGGAGTAGGAGGCGGGGCCGTCGCTGATCTCGGGCAGCGGCGAGCGGCGGTGCACGTCCGGCGACAGGCGCTGCAGTACCGGCGATCGCCTCTGGGGGGCGGGAGAGTGCCGCTGGGGGACGGGGGAGTGGCGCTGGGGGACGGGGGAGTGGCGCTGGGGGACAGGAGAGTGGCGGTGGACTAAGAAGGAAGAGAGAGGAGATTACTGGCTAGTTCTGGGTAAGAAAAAGCTACTTCAAAAGAGAAGCAAAAAGCCCTGCCTATTCCCTCCCTGGTTCGCTCATTGATTGCAGTTTCCCCTGTTGAAGCACGGTTTTGTGAGATCCCACTCTCACGTCTCTCTATAAACTACAACCACTGAATGCACTGATCAACTGGAGCATCCAGGGAGACAGAAAAAATCAATCCAGTCAGGTAGTCTGCCTTAAAGACTCCTTGCTCCAGCCCCTGGCCCGCAGTCTTGTTCTGATGGCCTTCAAGCCGTCTGTTTTAAAGAGAAAGAACGATTCGAGCTCAGAAACGCTTCCCTCTTTTCAACAGCTTGCACAGTGTCTGGGGAGTGAGGTCTGCGTGTCTGGAGATCAAAGAAAAGCAGAGAGTTGCACAATGCCTGTCGAAAAACCCAAATCATGTGCTCCGGTGTCTTCTTTTCTTGATGCGTACCCGTCTGATGTTTTGTCTTTAATTGTTGTGCGTTATAATGTGTAATTACCCAATGCTCCAGTTTGGGGAATTCCATGAAAACGTTTCAAAGCACAGAACCTGGCTGTCGGAGCCGTTTACACAGAATCGCAGTTCTGTTGCCCTACATCCTGCTCCTGCCGGGTCCTCCTTTTCATTAACCCAAGCCTGAATTTTTATAGCCCTATTCGTTTGGGGTTTGCACGAACGGACCTGTAACGTCAGGTTATTTGCAAGAACAAACTCACCCAGTTAAAAAAAAACAAAAAAGTTTTCTTCAGCAACAAGTTCCGAAGGCCCAAGCTTTTGCAGAGCAGACTGCTGTGTGCGTGCTTTCAGAGTACTGTCACACTGCAGCTCAACACAGCACACTGAGTGCATGTCCAGGCCAGTATATTTGTGTGTAGTGACCTTCTTTTGCTCAGCATTATTATGATGTTAGGATTTCTATACGTTTTCCAAACGTCTCCAGGTCTGGAAATCAGCCATTCTTAATTCCCTACTTTTCCAGACCTTCCAGACCTGTGCACGCACCCCGTTATTGGTTAAGACACTCGGGGACCCCTTCAGAAACGTACTGTGCGGTGACGCTGTGGTCATGCCGCTGAGATGATTGGGACTCTATAAAACACAACCACTGAACTGAATGCATTGATCAACTGGAGCATCCAGGAACAAAGGAGTTCAAATGAATCCAGAGCGGGCTGCTCTCTGCCCGTCTCTCAGGGGTGTTGGGGAGCTCACCTGGGCTGCTCTGCTCCTGGGACACCCTCCTCAGGATCTCCGTCTGCCTGGTGCACAAAGTCTGCAGGCGACACAGCTCCTCCGTCAGCTCTGTGTAGGCCAGCGCCAGGTTCACCCTGACGGGAAGCAATAGCACACAGTTAAACGAGGGGGGGTGGTCTAATTCGGGAGAGACGCAGGTCGCAGCAAGGCACAGTGGTTAATGGCTTCACAGCCCCTTGCAGAAGCTGCTGCTGAGCTCTTCTGCAAACTACCACACCTGGATCGCGCCAAGCATGGCCCTATCCTGTATATACATGAGTACAAGCACTGGTGACCCGGCCAGAGAGCCCTATACAGGACACTGACTGTTCCAAACTCCAGCCTGAGAGCAAAGGTTGGGCCTAACGACTAGGAATGAAATGAGCGAGACAGGCCTGACAGTCTCGAGACAAGTCCCACACCGATATTTTCCTTGCCAAGCCTTCACTTGATTAAGCTGATCTATGGATTTAGTGCAAAAAAACATGTCCAGGTACAGTACGCACATGAGAGCCTGGTGATCTCAACATACTGTTAACTGAAGTTCAGGTGAGCAAACCGTCTGCAAATTCACAAGCCCTGAAAGTAGATCCCAACCGATTGGCTGCAAATCTGTAAAACATCACCCTAGTCTCTGCAACAGATACGCTGCAGAAGAGGGAAGAAGGATGGGCAAAGGCTGGTGTTGAGTGGAAAGATGTTGCTGCTGTTGGAAGACAGAGTGGAAAATGGAGTGAAATGCTGTAGTGAGCACACCCACATGTTGCAAGGGCGCTCAAATGGAATGCAAGGGGCTACAGACAGAAAACGGGAGGCACTTCTTTACACAAAGTGGGGCAGGAGTCTGGAACAAGCTGCCCCGGCATGTTGTGGAAGATGATTTTCTGGAATTCGTCATTAACCGCTGGATGACAGTCTGCCTAGGTCGATAAACTGACACGCTCGTAAACCCCTCCTCTTAAGGAGGCTCCAGCCCTTCCTTCTTTGGTGTTTATCTCCTGCACCTCCCTCCGGTTCCTGCCCCCCGTGCTATAAAAGCCAGGCGTTCCTGCCAATCCGGGCTCAGCCTTGGAAGATGGACGTCCGGAAGCTCGCCTACCAGCGAGTCCAGGAGCGACTCGACGGCATCGGGTTCACCACGGCGTCCTGACCTTCTGGGTCCGAGATCAGGGAGCGTCTGGTCTTGTTCCCCCCTTTTATTCCCCAGACCCTACGCCAGATCCCGCTCCGGCTTTTAACTCTGTTTGTCTGTGTCAGGATGGATCTCCCGGTTTTGGACATTGGATCATTCTTGGATTTGCTATGGACACCCCCCCCGAGTCCTTTCTTTCTAATGCACCACTAACTTAAACCAGGTGTTTCAAATTTAAAATCAGTATGCTATTAAGAATCTGGAAGACTGTAAAGGCATTTGGAATTTTACTTCAATTGTGTGTGAAGTCTTGCATTTCTAGGATGTTTGAATTTGAACAGTTTATTATTGTTCTTGTACAGTCTGATGGTTTTATAGCAGTGTGAGACGTGTGTGGAGCACACAATATGAATGTTGTTGTTGCTGCTCAAGTTCCAAACTGCTTCTAATTGTAGGAGTCTAATATGAAGAATCCTGTGAAGATGGAGATCAGACTTCATACACTTGATCTGCTTCCTTCACTTTCATCAGAACAATATGTCCTTGCTATGAAAATGTTTTTGAAGCTCGTAAAGGATGCTTAGAGCTAATCCCATAACTGTATTTGAATATGCATGAATATATGAGCAGAGGCAGGGAAATTTACAGTTTAAAGTAACATGTAAATTTAAAGTAAAAGTAGTCTTTTGCAGCTACAAGTTACTTGTGTAAAGAATTACTTTTTAAAATTAAAATAATATATTGTTTCACATGGTAATTACATATACTTCATACTGTAGATCACTATATTTTACAATCCCCCTTACACAAGTAACTATAATTATTTTTTTAAAGTAGCTTTTACCAGATTTCTATTTAAAATTGTGGAGAAAAAATGTTCTATTTAAAATAATGGAAGAACCCACTTTATGTCGTATCAGAAAGGCAGATTATTGTTGTTCGGACGGGTTTTCGTAATCCCTGTGCAGGACATGTTAGAGTATGAACGGGCTTACAGAATGTGTATGTTCAGGCCTGGGTGTGAGGAATTCATGGGTTTGAGAACAAACACCAGGCTTCTAAAAACTGGGATGTTGATTGTTTAAAAGCAAACTGCTATCCAACAGGGCACAGTGGCAAAACAGGTAAATTAACCATCAAGCCAAATAAGTGTGAAAAGAGAAAAGACCATTACCATTTTTTAGATGTTGTCAAGAACTGTGATAAGGTGCTGTCTGATATTTAACCCAGTTAACGCATCTCTTAAAGATACGAAGGTGATGTTTTTAATAACCTTTAACGCGAGCATGAGACCTTCTGTCTTTAAGGGTCAATCCCAAAGCACAGAGCAGGCCTGATGCAAAACAGATTTTAAAGGACGGAAGCCAGTGAGGATGTAACTGGCTCAAAACCTGGCGCGGCAACGCCACAGCCTTTTCAGAAAGATACCCACTGCCCCGGCGTGTGCAAAACTGCAGTGCTGTGTTAAAGGGGTGGGCTTGTCTGTCCCCTTTAACACAGCCCCAGCTCAGATGCACAGTCCCAGCTGAACCTTGTACCCACCCTTGAAGAAACCCACTTCTAAAAAGGGACAAAGCTGGGAACAAGCCAAGTTAGAATCGGCATAGCCCTGTTCACAGAGCTGTTTTTATTTTCCCAAATGTACCAGCTACCTAAAGATATCATATCACACACAAAACGGGAATATCTGAAACTGGATATGTGCCAGGCTGTTAGAAAACACTGAATCATTTTCTGTTCTTGGGCAATCATTTGTGTGCCTCTTCACAGTGTGTGCTGGAATTGTGGACAGGACAGGAGAGACCTTAAAATTCCTGGTGTGCCCCACTTCAGTCACTCTTAAAGACTGGGGGACACTTGCCGATCATGTAAGCAAGTAATCTGTTCACTTAGGAGATAACCTATAACCCCTGCAGGACTGGTGCTACTGAAGACCCAGGGGGTTCATCCCTGATTTAAAGAATCCAATAAAATAAAAATAAGAAAATAAAATACACCAGTGAAGATATAATTCCCTACCCTGTTTTCAATTTGAAAGCGTGCAAGACCAGTGATCTTAATTTTTGCACCAGGACCCGTTTATTGAATTAAAAAAAAAGTTTCAAATTTGTATTTTATTTTGGAAGTTTATTTTTTTTATTATTTCTTCATCACACGAGGCAGTAGTTACTCTCCCTGAAAAAGCTGCTGGCCTCCCCGACTCTTCAGTGCCCCCAAGTCCTCTCTGCCCTACGAGGGGGGTCTGCGCGGAACCAGATCTGTCTTAAGGTCTTTAGTTTTGCAACGTAGTCAGGTGTAATGCAAGCTCTGCAGAAAACCAGACATGGCTAATTACAGCTTCCACCAGTTTAATTCTGACTAATCTCTTCCTGTGCACCATGTCCCTCCTAACAAGTAAAAGTGATTTTCATGTTCGAATTCTTAATGTAAATATTCTTAAATGAAGAATATTTGCACATGTTTACACAAAAGACATGTTTTGCTGCCATTTCATGATTCAAAATGATCACTCATCTAATTTAAGGGCTTTTTTTTCTCTCTTCTGTAAATGATGAGGCAAGTCCGCTATCAGTCTATCTGTGGAGGGAGACAGAGGTAGGTGGAATGCGTGATAGAGACAAGCACACCGATAATGACTTGCTCAGCCTCGATAAGCACTTTCTTATCTGATCGCTCAAACCAATTTCAGAAAACATGCTTGTATTTTATTATAACCTGACTCAATCTGCCTAATTGTGCCGCTGAAACCAAGATATTTCACTCGATAAGGACAGCGAGCAGCCAAGCTTCGCCTGAACATGGAATAAAAACACACCGTGATGTCTCGTTACAAAAACCACTGCTGGATTTTACATGAAAAAAAGAGCGAGAGAGGGGAAAAAGTGCCTGGAGTAGGCAGTCTATCTCTGTTTGCATATGCCCTTACAAAACACACGTACCTCTGATTCATCCTGAACACTTCTGGGCCAAGAGAGAAAAGTGCTCAGATATCATACTTGATTTAAAATAAGGAGACAAACTCCTGGATCAGCTACATCAGTAAGAGAAAACTACACAAAGAGAAGTTCTCTGATTTGGACAGCATTTCTTTTTGAGAAACAAGGATGAGATGTCCAGTAAATCCTCCAGATAATGATTTATTTCTACTCTCCTGGTTGAATTTAAGGGAAACATTATCCCTTGCTATTATTTTTACTTAATAACAGGTAAATGTTTTGTAACAGCATGATGAATGCCTGCTGCCTCGATCGTGGGATGTTATCGGAAGCCCCTGATTGATCAGACTGAGGAAGAGTGTGGTTAAAGAGGGCAGACTGACGTCCTCCACTAGTATATCCGCCCAGGGGTCAGTCTCATCATCTGACTGAGTGGACAGCTTTATTCAGAAAGCAAAACCTTGAAAACAAATAAACACCTCTAAAGCTACTGAAAATGAACGACTGGGGTTTTATATAAATTCAGAAATGTACCCAGCACTCTTTTTTTAAGCAAAGCACATGCCTCCCTCAATTTAGTGTCTTTAAATGAAACAAATTGACCGCTGTCTATGTGCTGTGAATAAATGCAATTATTTTCATTAAATTCACCTTACAATAAATCTAAATAAGACCTTGACTCTGGCATGTCTTATTTACTGGCTTTCTAAATATTTAAACAATATTTGTATTCACACATGGAAAAAAAAAAAACAATCCTAACAGCAATCACAAAATAAACGTTATAAAGACGATAAAATGCACACAGGGCACTGAACTGCTCGTGGGTCTGCTGAAGTATGACGGTCTTATTGACAGTCTGGGAAAGACTGCAGACAAGTACTGCAGGAAACAATCAGAAAAGACTATTGAAAACAAAACACTTGGATTATCTTCAAAATGAACCAAGATGTTGTCCCAGCTTGAGGATTACATTGCCTGTAACTCTTAAGGACAAGTGCTGGTTTTGAAGTGTGAATGATGGGGT